GGGGGGCACGGGCCCCCTGCCGGCAACCCGGCCCGACGCGGGTTGCGGGCCCCCGCGGCACAGTACGCGCATCCCAGCGGTACTGCGGCGCTCGGAGCCAACCGGCACCGATCGGGGAGAGGGTCACAGCCCAACCATCGCCCTAGAACAGACAAACAGCCCAGCGGTAACCCCTCCGCGAGCCAGCAGGGTTTGGGGTTCTTGCCAAAGCCAATGAAAGAGCTGCAGCACCGTGGCGCTGCATGGTCTTCAATATGCTCACTAGCAGGAACCAAGCATCGAGACTGAAAGGTTTTTTATAGAATTCATCTATCCCAAGGCTGAGGGATGCATTCACTTTGGATTGAATCAGGAGGAAAGAAAACAAGGAGAAGAAAGAAAGAAAGAAAGAAAGAAAAAGTTCAGGATGGAGTTCCTGCATTTTTTCCCCGTTTTTTCCACTAATCAGGAAAGCTTTATGTAAGAGCTCTTACCCTGAAAACAGAGGATCAGCAAAGGATTGCATGGTGGAATGTTACAATCTGCTTCCACAGCGATTAGTGTCATCAGCTAGAAAGCCTCTTGGATAACACAAATTTAAAGAACAAATGTGCTATGTATTCTCAAGTTGTCCTCAAGTGTAAGAATCCCTCAAAATGTAACCAACAAACACGAACAGAAGTCAGTGCATAAATTCTCAGTTAAAAATATTTTAAACTGAAAGAACTATTAAGTGGGGCCTACTCTCCTAAAATACTTCTTGAACACCTACAGGAGATGCCATGAAACAACATCCTGGTCCCAAATAGCCTTGCAGATTAAGATTTAGTATCTTCACCTATTTTACAGTAAGTTTGTTTTACTTCTGCCTGGTGTGTTTGCTAAAAATCCCTCATCCCCCCCCACCCCGCAAAACCGTCTGAGGTCACTGAGAAGAGCCTGCCAGAGTTACTGGTACAATTCAGAGCTTATTGCACTTAGACATGAGTAAGGCAAAAAAACAAACTAAAAAAGGGATAAACTGCCCCCTCCCCAGTAACCAAAAGCCATCCTCTCCCTCCAGACCATGAATCATTTTCCCTCACACTGAAAACAATTCAGACCCCAGCATGTACTTGTTCAGCATGGCACGGG